ATTATCATACCTATCTACCGGATGGGTTTCAATAAGCTTCTATCGTTCTTTTAATTACAGAAAGGTTAGTAATTGTATAGTTTCCATTGGCCTTCAAAACCTATATTTGACAGAATCATACAGTGTCGATTGTATCGCCTGACACTTGCATGATATTATTTTGAAAATCTTTGGGTAATTTTTTTTTGGTTTGCATCATGACTTACATGAACTCTAAAATATTTGTTAATGTTTCAGGATTTCTGTGTATTCATTTATATATTCTTTTAATTATGATTTATTTATTGTTGCAATAAAACACCAACCTCTTACATAACTAATTTATTTTATAACACAACACAACAAACTTTTAATCCTAAATTCCCGTTTTCTTTCGCTCTAAACGGTCTTCAACCTCCTCATTCTGAAGAAGAAAACGGCCGCCAAGAACAGGGTACACACGCACAAACCGCCGAGAATTCCAGTTGCGATTTGGAACTGCTCTTTTAACTCAACCTGCTTGTCGTAGTCCTCCCGAGACACTGGATCCGGGTCCTCGCTGGTGAACGGGCCCTGTGAAGGAAGATCGAGGATACTGAATAAACGCTTTTGTTGGTGAATAGGGGAAACGTGTCCATCGATGGGTGTCAGGATAGATGGACAATGTATGTATACGCACGCACGCACACAAGCACACACCGATTCACTCTCACCGACACACACACACACACACACACACACACATATATATATATATATATATATATATATATATATATATATATATATATATATATATATGGAGAGAGAGAGAGAGAGAGAGAGAGAGAGAGAGAGAGAGAGAGAGAGAGAGAGAGAGAGAGAGAGAGAGAGAGAGAGAGAGAGAGAGAGAGAGAGAGAGAGAGAGAGAAAGACAGAGAATATAGATTTGACTCTCCCCCCCCCCCAAAAAAAAAAAATCCAGCAAAATCCCCACACCCCAGCCATCCCACCACACCCAACAACCACACAACCCAATCCACCACAAAGGTCCTTACCGGCGTAGTGGTCATTCCATCATCAATGTGGTAGTTCCAGCGCGTGGAAAAATCTATTTCGTTCGTGAAGTCATCTTGCAGTAACATGAAATTCTCTTCCTCGATTCCAAAAGTCTTCCATTCAGCGGTGAATCTTGTCCAGTTTTCGTTTTCATATTCAAATTCTCGCGGGGTTGGGTTTCTGTGTGCGTTTGTTTATGCGTAAATATTTATTTTGCTTTGACTGACTGGTATTCATGTTTGGTTATTTTACAGTGTGTATTATATTATTCAATATCTATTTTTGTTCAATGTGAATTATCTTATTTCATATTTATTTTTGTCCAGTGTGTAGCATCTTATTTAATATTTATAATTTCTATGATGTATTTATTGTCATTTTACGTGTTCATGTATGTATTTCTTTTTCTTACTTTAAATATTGATTTTCTATTTATAATAATTTTACAATTTCTGTTATCACTATATATTTTTGAAATATATATATTTGTATATACATCATATGTTTATTATATTGTTTATCATATAAAATTTTGTGAATGTGTATTAACCGTATAAATTGATATCCTTCAGTGATTGTCTATTTATGATATTTATTTTTGATTCCCTTATATATTAATTTATATATCACTTAATTGTATTCACACACATGTGTATGGATGTATGTGTGAGTATGTGTGTGAGTGTGAGTGTGGTGTGTGTGTGTGTGTGTGTGTTGTGTGTGTGTGGTGTGTGTGTGTGTGTGTGTGTGTGTGTGTGTGTGTGTGTGTGTGTGTGTGTGTATGCGCGTGAGTGTGTAGTACATCTTACACACACACGCACACACACAAATATGAATAAACAAAAGCACACACAGCTTACCCATATTTGGCAAAATTGGTCCACAGAGTCAGCATTCTCTCCGACATCAGCCTCTGCCTCTCGTCCAGCACGCTCGGCAGGTGAAACAGGTACGGGAGTTCGTCGGCGTGACCAATGCCTATATGAGGGGTGGGGTTGGGGTTAGGTGGGGTGATGAGAGAGGGTGAGGGGGGGTGAGAAGATGGACTAGAAAATTTGGATTATATCTTGTTTGGATAATGATAGCATAAAAATGTTTTTTTTTTTGTGGTATTCTTTATATGTATATATATTTAATATATATGTATAATGTATATGTATATATATTGTATATATATATGTATATATATACATACACATACATACATATATATATATATTATATATATATATATATATATATATATATATATATATATATATATATACATATATATATAAATGAGTATTCGTGTTATTGTGGATCTTTTTTCCTTTAAAGTCATGCTATTCAATAGAGAATGGATATATTTAAGTTAAAAAATACTTTTATATAAAAGTTTTGAATACTTTTGTTGTTCAAATGAGAATTTTTTTTAATTTTAAAAAAGAGGTTTTGTTTATAATTTGAATATTCTACTTCTATTCTGCTCCTATTTTGCCTAAATAGAATAACGTGTATATTATAATGTATATATTATCAATCTGACTGTAGATTAAAAATAAATAGATATTGGCCACTGAAAATGATGATAGTGATGATAATAATGATGATGATAACAATTCTCATACTTGGTATCATCATCACTATCTACAAAGAATTTAAGCACGTACTCACCTCCCGGGACAGGAATATCTGGCATGGATATGAAAATCCAAGGAAACAGGGAATCGTCAGACTCGAATTCCCACGAGTAAAAGAAAATGGGAAGATTCGGGGAGGCTTTGTTAATTCGGTGCGCCAGCTGCCACAAACCGGATTTAAGGAACAGCATCCCGCACATCTGTGCATCGGTAACGAAGAGATAATATCATTTGGTATTTTTACAGAGAGGGAGAAGAGATACATCAATAGTTGGGAACAAAAGAGAGCTTTTTATATGTAATATCATTTGGTATTTTTAAAGGGATGAGATACATCAATAGTTGGGAACAAAAGAGAGCTTTTTATATGTAATATCATCTGGTATTTTTAAAGGGATGAGATACATCAATAGTTGGGAACAAAAGAGAGCTTTTTATATGTAATATCATCTGGTATTTTTAGAGCATCAATAGTTGGGAACAAAAGAGAGCTTTTTATATGTTTCTTCCTCGACGTGATAATTTTCAAATATTTCATTTACTTTTTCACATCCATTCCTTAACATATTTCTCATCAACGTATTTAAAAAAATATATCAAAACCTCCTACACATACTTCACATACATACACCGACGTAAGAAAGAGCGTCGCATGTACACCTCCACACTTACACACGAGCACCACCTTGGTATACTTACATCAACAAGACCGCCCACCATGCTGTACCAGTTGCCCATCTCAGCATTGGGAAGGAAGGATAAAGTCATAGCATTGGTGACGCTGCCGGTTCGGTCTTCGATGCCTGGCCGAAAGACGAGTGGGATTAGGTACGTAAAAGAGAGGGAAGCGGGGTGACAAACGAAGGAAAAGGGAAGGAGAGGAGGGAAAGAGGGAGGGAAGAAGGGGAGAGAAAGAGGAAAAGAGGAAAAGAGGGAGGGAAGCAGGGGAGGGAAAGAGGAAAAGAGGGAGGGAGGGAAGGAGGGGAGGGAAAGAGGAAAAGAGGGAGGGAGGAAAAGAGGAAAGGAAAATGGATGGAGGAGAGGGAAAGAGGAAAAGAGGGAAGGAAAATGGAAGGAGGAGAGGGAAAGAGGAAAAGAAAAAGAGGGAGGGAAGGAGGGGAGGGAAGAAGGGGAGGGAAAGAGGAAAAGAGGGAAGGAAAATGGAAGGAGGAGAGGGAAAGAGAAAAAGAGGAGGAAGGAGAGGGAAAGAGAAAGAGGGAGGGGAGGAAGGAGGAAAAAGGAGAGGGAAAGAGAGAGGGAAGGGAGGAAAAAAGGAAAAGAGAGTGGCAAAAAGAAAGAGGGTGGGAAGGTAGGGAGGAAGAAAGAGAGGGAAAGGGAGAGGCAAAAAGAAAGAAGGAAGGAAGGAAAAAGAAGAGGGAAAAAGAAAGAGGGAAGAAAGGAGAGGAAGAAGAAGAAGGGAGAAAAAGAGGCAAAAAGAAATAGGGAGGGAAGGAGGGGGAAAGAGAGGCAAAAAGAAAGAGGGAGGGAAGGAGGGGGAAAGAGAGGCAAAAAGAAAGAAGGAAGGAAGGAAAAAGAAGAGGGAAAAAGAAAGAGGGAAGAAAGGAGAGGAAGAAGAAGAAGGGAGAAAAAGAGGCAAAAAGAAATAGGGAGGGAAGGAGGGGGAAAAGAGAGGCAAAAAGAAAGAGGGAGGGAAGGAGGGAAAGAAGGCAAAAAGAAAGAGGGAGGGAAGGAGGGGGAAAGAGAGGCAAAAAGAAAGAGGGAGGGAAGGAGGGGGAAAGAGAGGCAAAAAGAAAGAGGGAGGGAAGGAGGGGGAAAGAGAGGCAAAAAGAAATAGGGAAGGAAGGAGGGGGAAAGAGAGGCAAAAAGAAAGAGGGAGGGAAGGAGGGGGAAAGAGAGGCAAAAAGAAAGAGGGAGGGAAGGAGGGGGAAAGAGAGCAAAAAGAGGGAAGGAAGGAGGGGAAGAGAGGCAAAAGAAAGAGGGAGGGAAGGAGGGGGAAAGAGAGGCAAAAAGAAATAGGGAAGGAAGGAGGGGGAAAGAGAGGCAAAAAGAAGAGGAGGGAAGGAGGGGGAAAGAGAGGCAAAAAAGAAAAGAGGGAGGGAAGGAGGGGGAAAGAGAGGCAAAAAGAAATAGGGAGGGAAAGAGGGGGAAAGAGAGGCAAAAAGAAAGACGGAGGGAAGGAAAAAGAAGAGTGAATAAAAATAAAGAGGGAGGGAAGGAGAGGAGGACGAAGGAGAGAGAAAGAGGCAAAAAGGAGGAAAGGTAGGAAAAAAGATGAGGGAAAAGGGAAAGAGGGAGGGAAGGAGAGGAAGAAGATGGAGAGGGAAGGAAAAAAGAAAGAGGGAGGGATGGAGAGGAGGAACACACACACACACACACACACACACACACACACACACACACACACACACACACACACACACACACACACACACACACACACACACACACTCACGCACACACACACACATGCATACACATTTATATACATATTATCTATATAGGAAAAATGAGCAAAGGTTCACAGAGTACGCAAACCCTTCATCATAAACCAGGGATTTTATTAAGAACTGATAGTGCAAGGAAAACATTTAATTACCGCTTGATAAAAGGTTATCTCATTGGGGTTTAGGGGAGGGAGATGAAGGGAAGGAAAGAGGGAAGGAATTAAAGAAGGAGGGGAGCGAAAAATGGATGAAGGAAGGGAGGGAGAGAGAGAAAGAGGAAAAGTGGGAGGAAGAGAGAAAAAAGAGCGATTGTGGAAATAAAATGAAAGAGAGAGAGAGAGAGAGAGAGAGAGAGAGAGAGAGAGAGAGAGAGAGAGAGAGAGAGAGAGAGAGAGAGAGAGAGAGAGAGGTGAGAGAGAGAGAGAGAGTATGTATACATGTATATGTATACACACGCACACACACGCATACAGGTATCTATAAATGTAAAAACCAAGAGATAGAATCAGAGAGAAGGCGAGGTCACAGGGTCACAGAGCTCACCCACGTACTATCGTCAATCAAGGACGACGCTGACTGATATGAGAACGATATGTTTAATCGCCCCTGGATGAGCGCTTATCTTTGTTTACGTTATTGTTCACCAGTCGCCAAGGGTAACAAGGGAAAATGTATTTCGGGGCGTGTGTTACGGGCGTATGTTACGGCGTGTGTTTCGGGCGTGTTATGGGCGTGTTACAGGCATGTATTATGGGCATGTGTGTTACTGTTGAAGGCGGTATGATTGTATCCATGTAGGGAAAATTTCGATGATGATAATGATTATGATATTGCTAATGATGATAATCATTATCATAGTAATAATGATAGCAGTGATTAGAATGATAGTAGTAATAACGATAATAATCATAATAGTAATAGCTGGCGTGGAAAAATTAATACTCGTAATCATGAGCATGATATTGATAGCAATAATATTAATAATTATCTTTTTTTTCATATATTTATTGTTACCACCATTATTACCATCATCATTATTATTGCTGTCACCATTAACATTGATGTTATTGAGCAAAAATAGGTGGAAAAGAAAAATAGTATAACGGAGCTACATGTAGAAAGAAATAAAGAGATAGAGCTAATTATACAGACAGATAGATAGTGATGAATAGATATAGACATAGGTAATGAGAGATAGACTGTTTGATAGGCAGAAAGACACACACACACACACACACACACACACAGAGAGAGAGAGAGAGAGAGAGAGAGAGAGAGAGAGAGAGAGAGAGAGAGAGAGAGAGAGAGAGAGAGAGAGAGAGAGAGAGAGAGAGAGAGAGAGAGAGAGAGAGAAAGAAAGAGAAGGAAGAGAGAGAGAGAGAGAGAGAGAGAGAGAAAGGAAAACAAACAAATAGAGGGAAGGAAAAAAAGAAAAAAAAGAAAAAAGAAAACCCAACACACACAAAAAGATAAAACACGCCACATATTCCTGCATTCACGAAGCAAGATTCGAAGCAGAGATTCGAAGCTACAAGCCAACTCACCAAATGCCCGAATCAGCGTGGTCACCATTTCATCCCTGGCAAACTCTGTGTCATTTGGGTAGTGTCCGTTGGGGTAGAGGTAGTCCTTGTAAGCAACTGTAAAAAAAAAAAAAGATTGGACAAAGGACGTTTTACTGATAAAGAAATCTCCCCCCCCCTTCTCCCGTTTCAATTAGGTTATAAAAAAGATTTTCGGATCTCAGTTCGGTAATATTGAAGACATTTTCAAGGTTCCATTGAGGTAATATGACTGATAACTGAAAAATATAACGAAAACAAGAAATTTTATGAAAATAAACGTCTTCAAGATAACTAGTTCAGACGACAAGAGCGATACAAAGGAGCAATAAACATGAGTTGCAATAAATTAGTGATAATAACAAGAACTACATGGATACGATAATAACAAAACAAGAGAGTGATAAAAACAGCAGAAACAAATCAGTGATAACAATAACAATAACATATAAATATAACTGACGAAAATAGAAATAATGATAATCAAAATAATGACAATGACCATTAACGACGTGCATGACACAAAAATAATAATAACACCGAAAACAACAGGAACGATAATCGCAAACCAAAGAAAACGACACAGAAATTTTAAGGGGGCACTCACGGCCTACCACCAGCGACCCTTCGTCTCTCACGCTTCCCGTCATCACAGGGACCTGAAGGAACTCATTGGCGTCCACGATCTCCACAGGACTCTTCGGGATGACCAGCTCGAGGCCTGGGTGATTCTCGGCCGCTAAGGTATCCTGCACCACGGGACACAAGCCCTGGAACCCTAAGCCTCCTGTCTTGCGGCTGTCTGCCTGGAGGGGAGGGACGGTGTAGCAAATGAAGGACCGGTTAAAATGATTACAATTAGTTTAAAAAATGGTAAATAAAGACTTGGAAATGGTTGCAAATAAGGACCTAAAACAATGGCAAATAAAGGCTTAAAAATTATTGCAAATACAGCAAATATAGCAAATATATATTTGGAAATTATAACAAGTGAAGGTTGAAAGATCTAATAAAGGATTAGAAATAATAATAAAGGTTAAAAATATCAAAGGATTAGAAATAAATAAAAATGCTAAGAAACAACAAACGAAATGCTTAGAAATAAAAACAGGTAAAAAGATGCCAAATAGAGGATTAGAAATGACAACAAATATAAGCTTTAAAAATAACAAATAGATACATAATAGTGACATCAAATAAAGGCTTAAAAATAACAAAAAATTAAAAAAATGCTAATGATGATTCACCTTTTCGGTGTTTGAGACCAAATCCGAAACATGTTTGACACAAGTTTCGACTGCGATTGTACTTCGACGTCCCTCGTACTTACAGCCTGACACACAAACCCTGAACCAAGCCATCTCAACACCTCCCCTCCTCCCAAACTTAACCCAAAGCTCTCCAGCTCTCCCAAACCCAATCTCTCTCCCTGTCGAAACCCGACCATTCACCCTTCTCCCAACCCCCAACCTCTCGCTCTCTCCCAAACGAAATCCAAACTCCCCCCTCTTGAAACCCCAACAACCCCTCCTCCAACAGCCCTCCCTCCCTCGTTTCCAACCACTCACATAGATCTGGATTGACGCGCGGTTGACCTCGTCCAGCGTCCTTCCTCTCATGCACTCTACCGCCTTGACCTTATCCTGGTCCGTGTCGCACTCCAGGATCTTAGCGGTCTTCCAGAAACCGGATTCTGGGTCAGGATCGAGGGTCCATTCCTCAAAGGACGATCCACTCATGGGCAACACTTTGTGGACGAGTTGCCGGTTGTTGTTTTCGGGGACGGTTTCTGTATGGGATTGTTTCTTTCGTGATTATTATTGCTACTGTCGCTGCTTGTTCCTATTCGTGTTCTAATTTTCCTCGCAATGATGATAATGATGGTAATAATAATAATAATAATAATAATAATAATAATAATAATAATAATAATAATGATAACAATGGTAATAATATTGATAATAATAATAATAATAATAATAATAATAATAATAAATAATAATAATAATAATAGTAAAATAATAAATATAATAATGAATAATAATAATAATAATGATAATAAATAATAATAATAATGATAATAGATAGTAATAATAATGATAATAAATGATAATAATAATGATAATAAGAATAATGATGATGAAAATAATAATAATAGCAAAGCTACTGCTACTACAAATAATAATAGCAATAATAGTAATAGTAACAATAGTAACAAAGATGATACCAATCATTACCGTTGGTGAGAGGTGTTATCTGCATCCACGAAGTGCTTGCCCCTCCCGCGCTCTGTCCGAAAACTGTGACGGAATCGCGGTCGCCGCCAAAAGCCGTTATGTGTTCTTGTACCTGAAGGGGATGATAGAGGGAGCGTAACTATAAAAGGGATAATGATACTAATGATAATGGTAATGGCAGCAATAGTATTAAAAATAATGTGATATTGATAATGATAATGATGATAATGAGAATAATATTGATAATAACTAATATTGATGATGATGATAATGATAGTGATGATAAGAATAAGAATAAGAATAAGAATAATACAGTGACAATGACATTAATGATGATAATGATATTGGCGATAATGATAATGATAATAATAATGTAAATAGTAAATGCAACAATGAAAATTATATTGATAATGATAATATAATGAAAAAAATGATAGAATTGATAATAATGATAATGATAATAGTAATAATGATGATGATTATAATGCCGATAGTAAAAATATTGATGATAATAAAAACAAAACGACAGTGATAATGATTATGATAGTAATGATAAAAAATATAATGATAATGATAATAATAATGATAACAATGATAACGATAATGGTGATAGTGATTATGACGTTGTTAATGATAATAATCAAAATCAAGATGCTAGCAATAATGATATTGATGATTATGATGTTAACAATAATGAGTGATAATGACGATAGTGACAATGCTGATAGCGATGATGAAAGGGAGGATGATTATAAATATGATGATGATGGTGATAATATTGATGAAACAGAGGGGGATTATAAAAAATGAGGACGATGGTGATGATGATAGTGATGATGATTATGAAGTTAACAGTAATGATGATGACGATCAAAGTTAATGTGATTATAAACATAATAATGTTATCTTGATTATAGTGATGTGGCGTTATATTGGTAACTGGTGATAATGATATAATAATCATTAATGATAATGGTGATGATAGTGATGATAATAGTAATGACAATGATAATAACTATAATGATAACGATAGATAAAAAATATACAGATGATACCGACTTTGATCATGGATAGTTGATGATAGACAATTTTTATGATAATAATGAAAAAAATGAGTAATGATAATAATAATGATGATAATCATACTGATAATAATA